TGAAATAGTTTTGTCACAGGGTTCCCCATGAAACTAGTCCGTCCAATGTACTGAGTCTCTTATTTCCCTTGGGCTCTTTTTCAAAGGAGTCATTCGGTGATTATGGCTACATAAAAAAAATAATAAATTTCTCTACAAGTAGATACTGAGTACACTTGAAGTATGCCAACCAGGAATTAAAAGAACAAAAACAGGAAGAAAAAAAAATGAACAAACAGAAACCTGCAACAAAAGTGGGTTTTGCAAGATAAAAAAGAAGCATTCACAAGAGTTCAAGAATCTCTTGTAATGAAATCAGGGGACAGTTTTCTGTATCTGCTGAAATGTTAGTGTACTCCTTGTTAAGGTCCTGACTTTCCCCGTCGGTGAGTTCAGACTTCTTGATTTCACTTCCCGTGTGCCAACAAATGCTGTATTTCAAGGTGGAACAAAGCTTGCCTTTCAGAACATGGCACCAAATGGAGAGTTTACTCTATTCCCTCATTCTCTGCGCCTCTGTTCCTCCTTGGTCCTCTTTACATGTCAGTTACTGCTTATCTTCCCTCTCCTTCTTTTCTATTTGCTCTTCTCACTTGCTCTTCGAACACTTCACTCCATTACTTCAATGTCTTTGCCTTTTCCTTTTTTGTCTGCACTTCCCACATATGATCACCAGCTGTCCGACTTTCTGGGGCACCCTCCTTTGCACTCATTTATTATTCACTATTGAGTCCTCACTTTTGAATCCCCTTATCATGCCTGCTCCTACTCTCCACTGGTCATCATCACTTTTCACAATCTACTGAAATGAACACATCAGTGTGTGTGTGTGTGTGTGTGTGTGTGTGTGTGTGTGTTTGTGTTGGAGAAAGGAATGCAGAGAAAATATTTGATGTTTTTCCCTTTTCAATCATTTAAGCATCAGCTGTTAAGAAGGATGCCTCTGCCCACCATCCTGTTCCCAGTCTTTATTCTCTTTTAAAATGGCATTATTCGGGGCACCTGGGTGGCTCAGTGGATTGAAGCCCCTGCCTTCGGCTCAGGTCATGATCCCAGGATCCTGGGATCGAGCCCCGAATCAGGCTCTCTGCTCAGCAGGGAGCCCGCTTCCTCCTCTCTCTCTGCCTGCTTTTCTGTGGTCTCCGTCTGTCAAATAAATAAATAAAATCTTTAAAAATAAAATAAATTCGATTAAAATGGCATTATTCAGCTTACCAAACAGGAGTGTGTTGGAGCACTTAGTAAAATAAATTGGAATGAGAGAAAGGAAAACCCTACTTATGTTCTTGGGGACAAGTCACCAGGTTCAAGTGAAGAAGCCAGGCAAGAAAGAAAAGAGGACGAGCTGAATTAGACCTGGCACATCTCGGAAGAGATAAAACCATCACACTTTAGTGACTAATCCAGGACTGATGACCTTACAGAAACCCCTCAACCAATAAACACCCCACATGTCCCGGTTGTACATATCAGTGCCTGGGGGATAGATATTATAAACAAGGAGTCGCTTTCCATCTCAACACTTTAATCATTTTACCAAAATAATCTGAACACGCATACATAAATACTTCATTTGGTATAAGAATGTGCAGCATAAAAAGTCCCTGAGATACATCCAAAAATGACGTGAAGCACATTAAATGCGATTATTCACCATACCAATTACCAAGAACTTGGCTCCCTTCTCTCATATCTAAGGCAGGTGACACTTGGATATATGTGTGTGTGTCATATATATAGATGCATGTTTTTACGCTAAACCAGTCTCTCCCTTTCTGCTGCCGGGTTTTCTGCTGCCTGACTTTCTGCCAGTTTACTGCTGCTGGGCAGGAAGTCATTTTCAGACTGTAAGGAAGGCTCATGGGGAGGTGAATTAGTTCTTAAGCCCTGGGGTGCCAGTCGACAGAATGATGGCAAGTGAAACTAGGAGATCCCCCAAAAAGACGTTGTCCAACCCCCTCACTTTGCAGTTCAAGTGACAGAGGCTCAAAGGGGTTTGACCTGTGATAAGCACAGCTGGTTCTGCCACTATGACCGTAAACTTAGGCACGTCTGGACTCCTTCCTTTGTACAATGGACTGGTGATAGTCACAGCAAACATCTTCCAGGTGCTTCCTATGTGCCAGACACTAAACCAAGGACTTTAAGTGTCTGATCTAATTATTCCAAAACCTCCGTAAACTATAGATGATTACCTTCAATTAGAAATGGGACTATCAAAACACAGAAGGCTTAGATGATGTACCCAAGATAAGACAATTAGGAAATGTTGCAAAGCTGATCTGGAACCCAGGAATATTTGCCTCCAAAATCCCTTCATTCCAATTCTTAAATCCCTTCTAAGAAATACCCATCAGGTGGGTTCCCAAATTCCTTCTATGGCTGGAAGTCTTGCACAGCATTGACAAACCACGGCCAAAACCAGGCCCCTCCAACTGTTTAGTATTGGCAAAGGCTGCTTTTGCCCTTACATCAGCAGAGTTTAGCAGCAGCAGAAACTAGATGGCCTCCAAAGCCAGCAATAATTACTCTGGCCCTTTACAGCGGGTTTGCTCACCCTGCTCTAGAACTTTGAAGATCTAGAGTGTACTGGAACTCTGTAGCACTTGACTGAGTACAATGCACTTTGGGCATATGAATTTTAACCTACTCAATTTAAGAGTATGAAAAACAACATAAAATGAGCAACTGCTGTATTTCTTACTCTGACAAGATCAGTCTAAAAAATATTGTTCCTTCTATACCCAGAATTTGCACGTAAGTAAAAATTCAAGTATACCTTCCTTCAGCAAAATATTTAATAAATATGGTCAGTTTTAAATAGACTTACCACCAAGAAAAGCATGGTAAAATAATAGTTACTCATGTAGCTATGTAATTTGATAATTTTTTTTTTTTCAAAGCAAGCATAGGTGCTTCCTCCTAGTCTGAAAATGCAAGTTCAATCTAAGTAACAATGGTGATTCTTGAAATCATATGGTTTAGCTTTAGGGATACATTTGAAATACAGTATGAGGCCCCTTTTTATTTCAGATATATCCTGAAATATATGTTGAGAACTGTAGACATACAAACACATAAGGAGGAACCCTGAAATCACCGCAAAAAAAAAAAAAAAAAAGGCAAAGAAAAAATTTCTCTTTGCCAACTGACTGCTATGTGTTAGGCATCTTTATTTATTTTACTTCCCCAAATGCTCACGATGAGCTGTGAAGTATTGTCCTCCTCCATTTTCTAGATAAGGAATCTGAGGTTCAAGGTTATTACTAATTTGCAGAGGTCACACAGCTGGAATCAAATCTAAGCCAGATTACCTCCAAAATCCACTCTCCCGGTGCCCCATGTAGATTCCCCGTTAACACCAGTATCTCATAAATACTCATTTTCAAGAAAAGAATTTTTCTGGGCACCTGGGTGGCTCAGTCAATGACTCTGACTTTAGTTCAGGTCATTATCTGAGTTCGCTTCTCCCTCTCCCTGTGCCCCTCCACCCACTCGTGCTCACGCTCATGTGTGCTCTCTCTCCCTCAAATAAAGTATTTTTTTAAAAGAATAGAATTTTTAACTTTTTCTTTATTGGCTAGCTAATAATTTGTAATGCCACCCACACTGTAATATTTAAATAAAGCAATTTTATCGGTGGGCTTTAATTTCTTTTTTTTTTTTTAAGATTTTATTTATTTATATGACAGAGAGACACCGTGAGAGAGGAAACACAAGCATCAGGAGATGGAAAGGCAGGCATCCCGCCAAGCAGGGAGCCCGATGCAGGCCAGATCCCAGGACCCCGGGACCACAACGGGGACCATGATGGGGACCATGATGGGGACCATGACAGGGACCACGACCAGAGACCGGAGCCGAATGCAGACACCCAACCATCTGAGCCACCCAGGAACCCCTTTACTCTCTCCTTTCAAGAAAAAGAACTGAAGCGGTTGGATTTTAGTCAGCCTTTCAAGTGAGTCTGCAACAAATGCAGACACAGTACTTACTCTATGATTCAGCTAATTGTCCTAATCAAGTGCACAATTGCTGTTTACGGCAGAACTTTATATAAACCTGATTAATCTTGTACCACACCCATAATAATTAGTCGCTGAGGGTCCTTATTATAATAAATCGAGGATTTCTTTATATTGTATCTGTATTAGATAATGGATGTTAGCTGAACGTATTGCAATAACCATCACACATTTTATGTAAACCATCATGCTCTATGCCTTCAACGTATACAGTGACATGTGCTAATTATTTCTTAATATAGCTAGAAGAAAATAATAAATCTAGGAGAAAAAGAAACCATTGTTTGAGGCTGTAAATCAACCGGCTTTCTAGTTATTGACCTATAGCCTGTATTACATTAAAGAATGTCATTTTAAACAAATAGGTTCTGCCAACTGATTTATCAAGTTAATTACTTACTTGTTGGCAGTGGCAATTCGAGGAGACTTTAAAGGACCTTCCTTGCCTTACACATTTTTTTGTCTTTCCTGGCCCCTGCAGCCCAGTGTTTGGCACAGAGCAGGCACACGAGGACACCTACTAAGCTATTCATTCAACAACTTTCCAAGGCAGTAACATGTATTTTCAAAGTTGGCCCCAGGATACTGCATCAAGGATACTAGGAAGGTAAAGATGCACTTGACTACCATGCAGACCAGGAGGGGAACCTGCTGGCCCTAAGCAAAGTTGCAGATTTGGATTTTAACAAAACCGAAAGCTCACTGCAGAAACTAATTTAGTTCCACTCCCTAGCAACTAAACAGTTTACCAAAAACTGACTGGAAGGGGAAAAAAACTAGCACTAACAGATACTTTTTTCCTCTTCCATGATTCCATAATGCAGTACCATCTTTCCTTGTTCTGCAAACAGGTAATATCAGCACCCCTGGAAGACTGATGTTCCTGCTGAAATTTTGGTCCAGTGAAATAGATGAGAACAAGTAATTTTGTGGAAAGTGACACCGTGGCTTCCTTCTCCTGTTTGTAAACACGGCTGGCTTTCTGGAAAGAGGGGAGAGGTTGCTTCCACTTTATTTTCACATCTGTAATTTCAATACACTTCTTAAAAATTTTAAGTTATAGAAAAACATAGACACAGAGGAAATAAGTTAGATGATCATTCACATTGCAAAGGGATTCTCCATAGGGCTGCATTAAATTCTGAACTCTCCTAAAGCAGTGATTGGGACTTGATCTAAAAGCAGCTTTCCAAAAATACATTTCAAAAATACATTTGTAAAAGTGAGGTATACCTATAGATTCATCTGAACTCCCCTTCAAGGGCAATCTAACATCTTCTTTGCATTCATAGAGCAGGGGAATAAAAAGGACTTGTTAAGGAACTGTCAATGGATTTTTGGGTGACCCTCCTTCTCATATTCCTTCTTCTTAGGAGATGAGGCTTTTCAGAATTCAACAAAGAGGACCCACCGGTGGCCTAGTCCTATCACTGTTCCACAACAGGGCGCCTTCTTAAACCCCAGGCTTGCTGCACCTTGGCGCAGTGAAACGGGAGTGTAGATTTGGAGTCCACACAGACCACAAACGTGGCCTGGGGCCGATGAGGAAAGCCAGAGCAACTAACTCAAAGGCTTCCGGTAGATAAGCTATTTCTTCTCCTCTGCACCAGTTACACGGTAAGGAAGGGCTCCCTTCACAGGTGAACACTGATGCTCAGGGACAGCAGACAGAGCCCAACTGCTGTTTATGCAAAAACCCCATGAGAACCAGGAATTCTTCCCACCCAGTCTTTGCGCTGAGTAATATTGATTAGCCATATGGAAACTACCATTTCCCCATAGAGTACAAATGGGTGTCTGGAAAACTCCGTCCCATGATTCAGGAGTCCAGGAGATGCACAGCCGAGGCTCAAAAAGCTGCCCATCTGACCTCCCCAGGGATACACGCACAGGAGAGCGGCCTCACCGCTCAAACCAGCGAGCCAAGTTGCGTATGCTCTTGGGCCGGTCCCTGGCGGTCTGCACAGCCTGGCAGGCCCGGCACCAGGGCTCGTCCCAGAAGGAAGTGATGTGCACGGCGTAGCTCCGGCGCCAGTTGAAGTAGCGACGGTAGACTGCCGGGTTTCGGTCGAGGAAGAGCAGGTAGGCAGCCAGGGAGGAGGCACTAGGGAAGTCATCCACGTGGATGAAGGCACCGCGGGGCACGAAGCGCTCGTAGTTGGCACGGTCGGGGCCCAGCACCACCGGCACGGTCCCGGCCAGCAGCGCGTTGCGCCAGAACTTCTCGGTGATGTAATCGAGGTGCTGCGAGTTCTCGAAGGCCAGGTAGAACTTGTAGCGGGCCACCGTGTGCAGGAGACCGGCGTCCGGCACCGGCAGCCCAGGCCCGCTGCGGCCGAACACGTCCACCGCCACGTGCTGTCTCAGCTGGTGGTAGTAGCGGACCCGCGCCTGGCGCTCGTCCCAGTTGCTCACCACCCAGGACACCAGCCCCCGTTTCCGGGCGAGCGGCGGGCCCAGGCCCGGGGGCTGGTCGCTGGGATGGGTCCTGGGGTAGAGATAGCCGTAAGGCACGAAGACGTCCGAGTCGGCCCGGTAGGAGAGGGTCCAGTTGAAGAGGTTACCCGCCAGGCTGCGCAGGCCCGGGGAGTGGGAGGGCGACTCGAAGTTCATCCACACCCAGCGCTGGCCCGGGGGCCTGAGGCCCGAGGTGGCCAGGGCTTCGGCAGCGGCCGCCGCCTCGTCGTCCAACACCCGCAACTCCAGCTCCTCCGTCCCGCGCGCCTGGACGCCCCAGGGCGGGGGCCAGTCGGGGGGGCCCTTCACGAGGTCCCGGTGGTGGAAGAGCACCGCCTGGGCCTCCGCATAGGCCGCTCGGTCGGTGAGCAGGCGGCAGCCGCTGATGTTGAAGCGCAGCCAGCAGTCCGGGGGCCGCCGCGCGCCGCTGTCGCGCCCCGCGAAGGGTTCCCACCACAGCAGCACGCCCACCGGCCGCCGCGGGGCGGGGGACGCCCAGGGCAGCGGCGGCAGCCGAGTCCAGCAGGAGTAGGCGGCCAGAGCGGTGCACAGCAGGCCGGCGGCCAGCGCCGAAGCGCCCCGCGGAAACCCCCGGCCTCGGCGCCGCCCGAAGCCCCGACCCGCCGCCCGGCCCCACGGCGCCCCCATGGCGCGCGCAGGCACGTCCGCGGGCGGAGAGCGGCGGAGCCAGCTCTCATGCTGCCGCTGCGGCTCTAGCCGTCGTTGCCGCTCGCCGCTGGCCCTGGGGCGGGAGAGGGCGGTCCCGGAATCCCGAGGCTCGCGGGTCTGGCTCTCCTCCCCGCGAGTTCCCGCAGGGCGCGCCGCCTGAGCGAGGTGAGCCGGCCGGGCAGCCCAGCCGGGCGCCGCCCCGTCCCTCCCCTCCACCGTGCCCCCAGCCCGACCCCCGCGGCTGCCGCGGGCCCTTCCTGCCGCGCCTCCGCCCGCCCCCACCCCGTCCGGAGCTCCCGGACGCCCCGCCGCGCGGCCCAGGCCGCTCACCCGCTCCCCGGGATCCCGCCTCCGGGGGTCCCGGGCCTTTCTGCGCGCGTCCAGCACCCTGGCCTTGAGCCGGGGCCTGCCCGCGGCTCTCTCCCAGCTGCGCCCCGGCTTTCAGTCGCGGTGGCCTGCACCCTCGCCTTGCAGATCGGGGACTCGGCTCATCGCTGGGCGCGTGCGGAGAGCCCCAGAGCAGGCGCGGGTTCCTGGGCAAGGAGGGCCGGGGGTGCCGAGACCCCGGGGGGGGGCGGGGACGGAAGATCGGGTGCTCTTCCTTCCTCACCGCCCTGCTGTGGCCAGCGACGCCTGCCGGAGGGAGGGAGCCCGAGAGGCCGCGGGGACGTGCGGGCTGAGGCGCGGCCACCGTGGCGGTGACCGTGACCTCAAGACCCGCGGAGACCGGCCGGCAGCGCGACCCACAGAGCGGTAGTGCATTTTGTGAAACCAAGTTTCCAGGGAGGATAGTTAAACCCTGATGTCACAAGAACGTTTCCTTTGCCTGCCTCTCGAGGAGAGGATCGGAGGAATAAAACATTTTCTGAGCAATGGAAACATTCTTTTCCCTCCCTCCGTCTCGAAATAACTTCTGAGTGCTAGCCCATAGCTTTCTTGGTATGGGGCTAGGAGGACTTGTAAGCGGAAGATAAAGGTATGGCCCTTGTGGCCTTTGTGCTCAAGGCACTTCCTGCCTATTCAGTCAAAGGAATGAATGAACAGCACTATTCATTTGACTAAGCACGGAAGAAACAACCGAATTTCTGTACTCATGAAGATGACGCAGAACACTCTGGACTGTAAAATGATGGCCAGGATAATTAACTACAGCACCCAAGTTTAGGATGTAAAAGATAAGGATCTCAATCCCTCCTGCATCAGTGAGTCACAACCCAGGCATCCACTTCTACAGTCACTTGAGCCTTTTTTCCCCTACAGCTTGAATTTGGATTTCTGGGTTTAGACCCAGAACTTGGGCCTTCACTTAAGTTATTAAACTCTTATTCAGTGAAATTCCAATAGGCCATAGGTGGGCTGCTGACCTAAGGAGAGGCGGCAGCTGGGAGAGAACTTTTAGTAGAACACAGCTGTGCATGGTGGTTCCCCCAGCCTAGTGTCATATTAAGTTATAGGATGTTAGAGGAGAAATAGATTTGCTGAGAATGGGGCCATCCTGTCAGGTATGGTTGATGCTATGCATACAGAAGATAAACCTGGATTTGCCATTAGAATTTCCCGGGAAGAACTTTCTCATTAAAAGTCAGGTACAGATTGTAGGGGCACCTAAGTGGCACAGTGGGTTAAGTGTCAGACTCCTGGTTTGAGCTCAGGTCCCTGATCTCAGGGTTGTGATTTCAGGGCCTTGAGATCCAGCCCCCACCCCCCCGCCACACACACCCACCCAGATGGGCTCTGGGCTCAGCTGGGAGTCTGCTTAAGACTGTATCTCCCTCTCCCTCTGCCCCCCCCCCCACAAATAAACAGTAAATCTTTTTTTTAAAAATCAAGTATAGATTATAAAAGCTTCTATAAAGATGGTTTCATGTGCCTTGCCTCCTGGCCCACAGTGACAGTTTTGACTGTACCCATCAACCTAGTGACACTTTCCTACACACTAAAACCTTACTTGTGTGTTTTGTTTTTTTAATTTCACAGAATCATTTTCAAGCTACTTAAGCCAATTTGTCATTGAAATTAGGAATTTCACTTCCACTCTTACACTTTTAATTAAAAAACAAAACAAACAAACAAAAGAAACAAACAAAAAAGCAGGGCACCTGGGTGGCTCAGTCAGTTAAGTGTCTGCCTTCAGATCAAGTCATGATCCCAGCATCCTGGGGAGAGCTTCTCCCTCTCTCGCTCCCCCTGCTTGTGTTCTCTCTCTTTCTTTTTCTGTCAAATTCTATTGTCAGAGTCATCTCAAGAACATCAATTTCCATGGTCTCTACTTATTTTGGTAGTGTGAAGGATACAACTCTCTGTTTAGTCTTATCTTGATGTTAAGGGAAGGGATAGAAGAGGGTATAGTTGGATTGATAAAAACCCATCATGACTTCTCTACAACCGAGTGATTCATTTACTCCCTGGGTCATGGTTTGTTCTTATTTTAAAGGAATAGAGTATTCTTATTTATTTATTTAAACAGTTGGGAAACTGGAATAAAAAATACTATTTCTACCTTCAAGAATCTGAAACAGAGGGAAGGAATCCTAGAAGGCTTTGAGAAGGTGGCTCCTGGAGTAATTAGGGACCATTGAAATCAGGAAGCAGGCTGAAATGTTAGTGTAAACAGAAGGGGCAGCATACCAACAGCCAGACAGTGAGGATGAGGATGGTTGGTTAGAAGTCACTACGGTTTAGTTTGGCTAAGGAGATGGGAGTTTTTAGCCTGAAGGCTGGAGAGAGTCTTCAAAAGGCTTTAACAAAACAAGGGAGCAATATAATGGGATTAGTATTTGTACAAGCTCATTGTGAGGGGTGGCGAGTATATGGAAGTTGACACAAGATAGGCTTTGGTGTGCTAGCCCTGTTTATTGACATACACACTGGTTAATGGGTGTGTTCTATTGAGTAAATTCATTAAACTGTAGACTTGCATATGTATCTTTGTGTCTGCATCTTATACTTTAGTAAAATGTTTTGGGTTTGGGGTTTTTGTTGTTGTTGTTGTTTTTAGTAAAATGTTTCTAAGTTAAAAAAAAAAAATCATTCTTTCATCAGTGAAGGATGAACTGGGTATTAGGGACCAGGATAAGAGCAGAAATATCTAATCCAGTTGGAAAGCTATTGCTATAATTCAGATATGAAACAAAATGCCTGAACTAAAATAGTAGATGGGAGAATGAGATTAAATTAAAACTAAAGGAGAACAAAGATAGGTAGGAGGCCAGGCCTTTTCCTCAGGAAGCCTTCCCATATGCACAAATCTTGGGAAGATTCCATGACCCTCCTATATGCTCCCATATATACGTCTCCCAGAATACCGTGGGGGCAGGGATTACGTTTCATTCATAACTCCATCCCTAGCACAGAACCAGGCATGGAGTAGTATCCATCATCTCAATGAATTCTTGTTGAATGAATGAGGGCTCGTATTGCTGAAATAATCTGTTGGTATCTCTCTTGGTATTTTACAACAATCTGTTGGTATCTTACACCTTAGAAAGGGTGGAAGTATCAGGAAAAAAGGCTACATGAATTATTTGCTGTGACATTAAGAAGCCCCTTAAGCTTTCAGGGGTAAATGCTACACATGAATTAGAACCTTGATGACAAGCATCAAAAACTCCATCAAATTAGCAGGACTCCCATTGGCCTGACCTGGACCAAGTGCTCATTCTTGAAACAATCACTGAGGTCAGGAGACTCTTGAGATCCTCTTCTGGAGCTACAGGACAGGTTTATCTAAACCTCTTGGACTAACAATAGGGGAGGGTAGTTCTCCTAAGTAAAAGATTGAGTGCTGTTATCTGAAGATGGGACGGTTGGTGGGCAGGCCAAAACAACATATCTATTAGCCATACAAAAAGAATTGTCATTCTAAATGAACTCTAAATCACCTTGGAATTTTAAGAATTCAAAAAAAATGGAGAATTCTTGGATTCATCTTAATTTGGTAACAATAAACAAATATTTCTGGTAGATTTAGAGCCCTTTTAGTTTCCACAGAATGTTCCATAGGAAGAATGGCTTTCAGTTGCAAGCATGGAGACAAGGTCAGGTATAAAGAAGGGCTTTGGGCCCCTGAGGATTGCTAAAGCAAGGTAGAAGAGAGGTCCGTAATTCAAGGTGCATGTTCTCTAGCTGAATGAGTCGTCACTTCCCCATGTGTCCAAGGATGATCTATTCAGTCCCAGAATTTAGTATCAGAATTCTCTGAGGCCAAAGCCAAAGACATCTCCAGTTGCTAAAAGTCTAACTCATTCTTTGCTCTTCCTCAGGGAAATGTTAATTGTAAGCTGTCCTGGTGCTCCTCACCAGAGACATTTTGATGAAGGGTAGTTGGAAGAAAGGCAGGCATGGACAATGGGCCCCCACACTAAGAGGAAACACCCTTAAAAGAATTTTATACCACCCCTGGAAGGAGCCCTCCACCCTTTCCCACACGGTAGATAGATGACAAAAACCCAATGGGGTGACATGCACAGAGGCTTGATCAGATGAAAACAGCCCACCAACAAGCCCATAAAAACCCCTAGACTTAGAAATGCCAGTGGTGGCATGCCTGGGTGGCTCAGTTGGTTAAGCATCTGTCTTCAGCTCAGGTCATGATCCCAGGGTACTGGGGTCGAGCCCCACATCAGGCTTCCTGCTCAGTGGGGAGTCTTCTTCTCTTTCTCCCTCTGCTGTTTTTCCTGCTTGTGCACTTTCTCTCTTTCAAGGTCAAATAAATAAAATCTTCAAAAATTAATTTAAAAAAGTTCCAGCGGCAACCCTCTCTAATCCCCTCTCTCTTTAGGGGCTTTATACTATCACTCAATAAACCTTGCTGCCCAACACTCTGTCTGGTCTACCTTTTCATTCTTCGAAGTGGCCAAGAACCGAGGGCACTGAAAGAAAAGAAATGGTATTGCCCCTAACGATCTGATACTTCTTTGGGAACCGAGGACCACATTTTGACTGCCTTGGGCTCCCAGCTGTCAGCGAGGCTCCATGAGGCTGCCCTCAGATGGGTTGCTATTTGTGATTGGATCTGAGATTTCTGTGGCGAACATTGACCTGCTGAGTACACTTTCCTTTTTTTTTTTTTTTAACTTGAAGAGACAAAAGGGCAATTCAGAGTCCCTCCCTGGATTATGTACTTACTGGGGAATGAGCTGCCGTCCACAAGCAGGTGTGGTTGGAAAGGCTAACACGGATGCAAATAGGTGGAGACTGTTTCCTTTGTAAGGTACAATATTTCAACTGTGCATCATTGGGCAGTTGAGTGTGGAA